GCGCGTCTGAGCGAGGCAGGGCTCTCAGCCAGCACACGCCCGGCACTCAGTGAGGCGCCCGGTTCCAGGTGCTGCCCACGTCACACAGGCCGGCACGGAGGGTGGCACGCCAGGACCGCAGGGACCACAGAGGAACCCCAGAGTCCATCGCCAGCCCCCAGCTACCTCCCGCGTGAGGAGGGGCTGGGGCAGGAACCACTCACATTCATAGGAGCCCAGCACCCGCTCTCTAGTCCTGCAGGAGGAGCAGCATGACCCCATCCTGCAGGTGACAAAGCCGAGGGCAGGGGGCTGAGTCGCCCAAGGCCACACCGCCAGCCCGTGGCACGCCCTGAAACCTTCCGGAAGGATCTACCAGCCCATCTGGCAACTGTCTTATGATTAGAAAACCCCAAACACAGCAGACGGATGTGGGGAGGAGCCCGGAAGGGCTGCCACGCGGCACATCCAGAACGCTCCCAGGGCCATCGGCCGTCTCCGTTCCCCAGCGAGGCTCGCGGCTCGGGTTCCAGGGCTGGTGGGGGTGCAGATGAGAAATGGGGCAGTCAGCACCCAGGGGTCAGGCCACCAAGGACCTCGTGGGGTGGGGGTGGGACTTGGGACTCGGGCTTGACCCTGGCTGAGGGCGGAGGGAACCTCCCAGAACCAATGGGCCCCTCAGAGGAGCCTCAGGGGGGAGACAGGAGCAGGGGAGCAGGGCTCTAACCGCCTAAGGGCCAGAACCTCAGAGCGGCCTGTAACGGGGGCCTTGAGACCCTCCAGGGCTCAGACGGGCCATCTCAAGCTCCCACCCCGCGCTGGGCAGACTTCCTGCCAGCTCCCTTCGGTGAAGGCAGGGCTGGATGTGGCGCTATCTCCCTTACAATGGCCTGGGCTGGCTTTGGTGACCTGTGGGGTGCCTCTGGGTTAGGGTGAAGGCAGCCTCTGTCCAGGGAGGAGGCTGCCCGGTGTCTGGCCCAGCAGCCGCTTCTCCCCACACACTGCGTGAACTGGAACAGAGGCCCTGCTGGCCGGGCACTCTGGTACTCAGGACCCGGAAGGAAAAACTCCGTGGCGAGGGGCGGCCCTCTGGTGTTTATCAAATGAAGGGCAGGACTTGCGGGAGTGACTGGCATTCACCTGAAGCCGGGACACACGAGGGCACCCCCGTGCTCACAAGACAAGCTCCTCCTGGGGTTCCCTCAGCCTGGAGGGTGTTTCAGGGGGACCCATGCTCGTGCCTGGACCCTGGGAACCCCAAGGGTCTCCTTAGTGGGCCCCTGCACAGTCAACTCCATCTCAGCGTGGCTATCCAGGGTCCTACACGGACACCCCCTTCCACCTGACAACCGCAGCCACAGCAGGCCCGGGCACTGCACCTGCGGACGGGGAGGTGGAGGCAGGGCCTGTGCCGGGCATCAAGCGGACACCCAGGCTTCATCCAAGGCATCCCTGGGGCAGCAGGGGCCTCCCCCAGACCTCCAAGACCCCCCTCAAAGACTCATCCGTCCTCACTTCCTGCTCAAGGTGGCCCCCAACCCCACCCGACCTTGGGGCCAGCTCATCGGTGGGAGCCCAAGCCTCCACCCCCACCCACCCAGCTGTGTCCTGTGGCCAACGAGGGGGCTCAGAAATTCATTTACCTTCCAGCGCCTCCTAGTGGTCACTCCACAGGAGAGCCCGCTTCCAGACTGCTGTCCCCAGGCAACACCAGCAGGGCCCCCAGGACAGGTGCTGCAGCCCCCCCTGCGGCAGGTGGGCCTCCCCAGGGGGCACACCCAGGGTCCCAGCACTGTGAACCCAGAGCAGCTGTGGGGTCACGGGTTTGTAAGCCCCTCTGGGGTCCAATAGAACCCCAGCGCCTCTCTGTCTGCAATCACACAGGGCCGCCCACCCTAGGCTCACAGCGGGGTGGCCCAGATGGGAAGTGGGGCAGCCCAGGCCCTGGCTAGGGGTCCCCATGGCCCTGCCCCACACCCTACAAATTGGCCGACACTCCCAGGGGCTGCAAGGTCCACGCTCGTCCTGGCCCCCCTTGGGATGCGCCCCAGCACCAGGTATGTGGACCGAGCAGAGGCACTCACACAGGTCCCAGGGCTCAGGGCAGGACACACGCCTGAATCCCCGCCCAGGGCAGGGCTGAGGGAGAGGCCAGCAGAGCCGGTCCTGAGCGCACCACACATTCCCTCCCGCTGCTCATCGGATGTAAGGAGCACAATCAGGCAGGACACTCCTGTTAAGTCACAAACGCTGACGCTGCTATAAGAATGGCACGGCACTTTTTATTGTCTTCAATCAGAAAAATAAACCCTGCGTCTCTGGGAGGCCCTGAGTGAGGACTAGGGGACCCCACACCCGGCTGGTCAGGCCCCCACAGGCAGGGTCCTGGTGAGCAAGTGGGGACGGGGAGGCCTGGAGACCAGGACCCCGAGGACGGGTCAGCATGGACATGCCTGTCACGGCAGGCGACGGGAGCATGAGGCTGAGCGGAGCCTGGCCAGGGCACCCCAGGGGGCAATGCAACCCCGGACGGACAGCTGCAGCCCCTCTCAGGGCCCCTGCTGTCCAGGGAGTCCCAGCACTGGAGTGGCTGCCGTGGGCCAGGGACAGCGGAGGCAGAGCTCTGTAGTGTGGGGTCTGCCCAGCAGGGGGAGTCCGGGGCAGCGACTGGAAGGCTGCAGAGGGTACTGAGGACCCAGGGCCCTGCACTCTCTTGGTGCAGAGCTGGGGTGGGGGCTGACCTACTTCAGTGACTGGCGACTGGGGTGTGACTGGCGACAGGCAGGGTCCCGGGGGACTTCCTTGCCACCAGCAGCTTCTACTCGACCACAGATGGCCCTGAACACTCTCACGCCTCCACAGTCACAGGACCTGGAGGTGGAGGCAAGGCTGGCGGGACAAGGCTGCACCCACATCTGCGGGGAGGGGGGGCACGAGGAATGCACGCTGACCAGAGGGGAGGGGCCCTGGGGGTGAGGCCTGCAGCTCTCACACACACACACACACACACACACACACACACACACTGGCACACCTCAGGGGCGTGCACAGACTCAATGTACAAGGACATGTGGCATTAGAGGCACAGAGAAACAGAGGGGCCCCCCGGCAACCCCTCCCAGGGGCATGTGAATGTGTGAATCACACAGCACAGAGCAGGCAGAGGGGAGTGGAGCAGGCATGGGGGAGGGGGGAAGTCAGCGGCGGGGGCGGAGACACGGGGTCCTCTCTTCTCTTCCTGGCGAAGGTGGCCTTGGGCGGGTAGCAGGCCTTGGGCCGCGGTGGCCCTGCCTGGGGCTCTGCCTCTGCTGAGCCAAACACAGCACACGGCCCGGCCACAGCACAGAGACCAGTCCAGCAACACATCTCGGGCAGCAGAGGAGCCGGGCCCAGGGAGCCACAGATGGTGGTCGGGAAACCGGCATCAGGCTCCTGGGCTCACATATGGGGCCTGGCGGGCTGAGCGGGTGGAGGATCGAGTCCGTCGTGACCGCAGGGGCCAG